CAGCAGGAAGAGCCAAGTATTTGTGTGGCGCTTTGTTCCTGTGATGTAACTTCTCACAGTGCTGATGGCAAATCTGTTGGCAACCAAAGCATGAGACCCAGCTGAAGCAGAATCTCGCTAAGGTAGCTGGCAATGGCTTTGAAAGCCCTGGGGAAATGTTCTTTGTTTTCACTGGTTGTCTCCTACCCATAGACAAACTTGGTCACCCAGTGGAGTGCAATGCTCAGGTTAGATCCAGCTCGTGTTGAGCATGTGTTCTGCAGGTATCTGACCTGGTTGTGTAGAATCGGTATAGAGAGAAAGAAGAGGTACTTCTGTCATGCAGTTAATATTTTGTATTTTAGAATTCTATTACAGAATGAAAAAATTGGCCAGTTTAAGCATCTGTTCCTCTTCATTGTCAGAGCAATTAGCCCGTAGGCTTAATACTAAGTCAAATGCTGTGGAATAAATTTCCAACAAGGTAAAAGATTTACAAATAATAGTATTTTGCAGCACAATAGATTTTTGGTTTTATTTGGATATTTTTAGTACAGCATTTTTAGTTAGGATTTCATCTATGTGCTGGATTAATAGTTCCATAGTACTGAATATGGAATTAAACTCTGGGAAATGGTTCATCTCTGTGTTTTGTTACTTATAGATAAAAATACAGGAGAACTTCTCTTGAAAAATGCCTCTCAAGACTATTCTGGTATATACAGTTGTGTTGCCTCAAACAGAGTTGGCGCGGATGAATGTTCCATTGAGCTGAATGTCACCCCTCGTAAGTGTTTGCTGTGTAATGGTTTTGTTTATGAAAGCTGAATAATCTTGTTTCTCTAAACTCCTAAAAGGTTGAAAAAACAGCCCTGTTGTGTAACTGATGGTTGCCATTTCAAGTCTTTACTTCCCAAAGCGTTGCTTTTTATGCAGAACTCTTTATTATTTTTTTAAATGCATGTGATTGAAGCATACCCTCTGCGATTCAGTGATATGCTATTAAAATAGATCATGTGGAAATATACTGTTTTTAATGTTAAGAGGAAAGAAATTGGTCATATATATTTGACACTTAACAAAGAGTATTGTTATCTATTCTAGCTATAAATACAGCTGGTGTAATTGTTGGAGCTATTATAGGAACTCTGCTGGGTCTTTTTATACTGGCTTTTCTTGTCTTCTGTTGCTGTAAGAAACAGAGAGAGAAGAAATATGAGAAAGAAGTACATCATGAGATCAGGTAATGACATTTCTAGTTTCTGAGCGGTATTATTTGAAGATTAATTTTTAAGTGTGTATTTCTGCAAACATATTACTTAACAGTTGAGATTTCTGTCTTAATCTGCAAAGTTTACTAACATACTAACAGCTTGTCAGAGAACTTTTCATTTTGAGTATGGTGTAGGTAGTCATCTCTTTCATCAGTAAAGATTATAAAGGCAATGAATACTTGATTTGAAAAACCAAACAATAAACCCTTGAATATGGTGAGCCGCTTTTGGCTATTGTGTCAGAATAGAAAGAAACAAACAGAAAATGCGTTTTGTAAACTCCAAGATAATAATGGTGACTGAACTTTTGTTCTGCAACTGGCTTTTTGTCTATTTCAGAGAAGATGTTCCACCTCCAAAAAGTCGCAGTTCAACAGCCCGCAGCTACATAGGCAGCAATCGTTCTTCTCTGGGCTCAATGTCTCCCTCAAATATGGAAGGATATACCAAAACACCATATAGCCAAGTTCCAAGTGAAGACTTTGAACGTACTCCTGGTCAAAACCCAACCTTTGCACCTTCAAAGGTAGCTGCACCTAATTTAAGTAGAATGGGAGCTGTCCCTGTGATGATTCCAGCACAAAGCAAAGACGGGTCCATAGTATAAAATATTATTAATTTAAATGCTGTTTTTTAAATGTTCATTGTAAGTATTAGAGAAAACTACTGTGTTCCATCCCTCATTTAAATAATGACATGCAATTTTCCTTGAAGAAAATGAACAAATTAGTTTGGAAAGCCACCAATTCTAATTTTTAATTTTGAACTTATTAGTATATGACAGTTGAACTATTTGCTAAAAGCATTGAGATTCCTAAATAAATATCGGACACTGAAGATATTTGGACCTCTGGTAGGTCGCTGAAGAGACACTGTCAGCTAGTGTGCAGTTCTGAATATTTAACAGTGAGGTACAAGTGAGAAGTAACAAAAGCATTTCATATGTAGACCATGAAGTTTCTCAGAGTTCCTGAAACTTTATCCTCAATTTTGGAATAACAGAAATATGTGAACTTGGCCACTGTCTGATGTCTGTGGCAGGGGGCTGAGATACTGAGGATGACTTTGAATTCTGTTCAAACTGAGTATTTATGCAGTTCTTTAACCTGGTAGTGTTTGTTTGGAGCACTTCTTGAGCTCTTATTTCAGGGGCTGCCACTTATTTGGTTCAATTAATTTAATGAGTATGCTCAATTTAAAATTTTCAGTGAGTGGAATGTGACAGGAGACTTTGCAAGCTCTTCGAAACATGAATTTTTCTGTAATATCTAGTTTTAGTCATGTCAGATAACTTAATGTCATCTATGTGTCTATTTAGATTAGATATTAGGAAGAAATTCTTTACCGCAAGGGTGGTGAGACACTGGAACAGGTTGCCCAGAGAAGCTGTGGATCCCTGCATGTGTTCAAGGCCAGGTTGGATGGGGCTTTGAGCAGCTTAGTCTAGTGGAACCTTCCCATGGCAGGTGGGTTGGAACTAGATGATCTTTAAGGTCTTTTCCAACCCAAACCACTCTGATTCTATGATTATCTGATGCAAGAGATGCTATCAGGTTCTTGTTGATATCTAAGCTTTAAAATCTATAGATCAAATGTTAGTCTCACAGTAAGAATGAATATGTATCTTTATGCAGTTCTTAATTTAATTGTACCTTGCATTTTCCAAAGCCTGTTTAGTTTCTAAGGCAGTGCTCTTACTTCTTTTCCAAACCGATTACCTAGAGGCTCCATGAGTTTTTAATGAAAGCTGTTAAGTAACCAGTATTTGATAACTATCCTCCTTCTTCCAACATCACTGTGGAAACATCTTTTCTCATACACATGTAAGCAGTAGTTAGCCTTTACTTAAGATTCTAACATCTTGCAGTATGAATTTGGAAGGAGTTAAAAAGCTCGCTTCTCCTTGCCTCCTCAACAGCCCTAAATATTATGAACAGACATTTAGATTTCAAGAGCAGCAGTTTCATGCAGCCAGAATCTGAGAGGAAATAGTTATCCAGAATTGTGAATGCAAATTTCACGTTTCAAGATTAAAACCCCTTCTTCCCAGTTTTGCAAACTTAAAGCTTTACAGGAGGAACAGAACAATTGTTTATCTTACTTTTACACATACTTAAGGACTTCTGATAGCTTCTGATGACTGATATTAGATATAATGTGGAAGCTGAATTTAAAGTTTAGTGCAGTTTGAATTTGTGGATATTTTTTTGTTCTTTCCTGTTTTCTGCTTTCTTCTTCATCATGTGCTGAGGGCTAGAGTTAGTGGTGATGAAGGCCCATCAGCTAATTCCAGCTATAGATGTTAAACTGCAAGGAATTTTGGAAAACTCTAAAGTGTATAGTATGTGGCAGTGATGTTGATGAAGGAAATTTGAATAGCCTGTTGAAAGATGTTAGGCTTATTTGTGTGTAGCAACAGTGTGAGAGAAAACATTTCCCCAAACTTCTAGGTTTAGTGTCTGCTTTTTTTGTAGCTGCTTATAGATCTGTGAATTCTACAGCTTACTACTAAAATGTTTGTCCTATCTGTAGTTAGATGCACAATTTTTGGCTGGCACTATTAATGTAAAGAATATACCCTTCATACCGAATTTAGAAACTTGAATGGCTATTAAGTATTCTAGACTTTTACAGTTTTACACATTTGGGACTTTTTTAGATTGTAAACTGATACTGTTAGAGATCAGATTTTTTATCTTTCATGTGTGCCTTGTCAATAAACTTTGCCTGATTGTAACTTCAGTTTTTATGAAATTTCTGGTGCCTAAACTTATTGTTTGAACAGGTGCTTAGATGATGGTACAGTTCTTAAAACATGACACTGTGATCTGATTTCTTGATTCTTATGTACTTTAATACCTCTTCATGCCTATTTTAGGATGTGACTTCAGTGTCTCTCTCTGTATTGGTCTGTATTTCAAAATGTCAGTTACTCCTTCAGTTGCTAATTATGATCTAAGTGTTCATGTTCTTGAAAACTATTCTATTGTTGTACCAATAAGATGGATGATTGACTTCTACTTGTGTGGTAAATAATAGGTTTAGTAACTGTGCCAAACATAAGCTTACGAAGAACAATAGGTGAGGAGACATCTTCTTGCATCTAATTATTGTGATAGAAGAGACTTCTAAGATTTTAATCATACATTGATTGTTTACCTTGAAACTAAGGCCTTCCTTAATTAAAAGGGTATAGTTACAATAAATACAACTTGAGTACAAAACTAAACTGAATCACAGACTGAGAGCTATAAACCTAGGCAACCAGGCAACAAACCTACTGAATTTGCTTCTTAGCCATCTGTGGACATATGTGAAATTATGTGTGAGGTTTGTGTTATGTTTGTTTGCTTTTAGTTTTGGGTGGGTATTTTTTTGTTGTTGGTTGGTTTTGGTTTTTTTTTTTTTCTTTCTTTCTTTGTTTGGCCTGAGACCTTGTACTTAGTCAGGTAAGCCCTGGGACACTCAAGAACACAAACCTATTTTGTTAAAGCATACAGAGCAGAGTTTGCACATGCTTAATGCTCTGTCAGCTTGTACAAAATAATAAATGGACAGAACCAGAGGACAGCATGATGTGCCCTCAGAGCCTGGCTGTTAGGCTTAGCAGCTTTGACAGTGTCTGTCTATTTATGTAATTGCATGGAAAATAAAATAAATAGAATCTGACATAGTCCTTATCTGAAATAAAGAACCTCGGACTTGGGGTAAACTGCCTCAAGTTGCTATCGTCATGCCTTTTGGAATGGGTACAACACTACTGTGAAAACATACTTCTATTATAAATTTCTTCTTTCCTCACTAGATTGTTCACTTGCACTGTACTACGATTCTCAGAAGTAGCTACTATAGTTTAGCAGTGATTTCTAGCTGTGTAGGAGATGATCTGGTTAAATATGTGAGGTGTCCGATCTTAGACAACTTTGCTAACAAACCTTTTAGGCAGTAATGGCAGCTGATATACCAGTTAGAAGGTGGCATTTTTAATGTCTCATTTTATATATTAAAAAAGGAAAGGCGGGGGGGGGTAGCAGTACCATTATGTAAATACTCAGCGAGCTCGAGAAACCTCTAGTTAATGTCATGACTGTAAACTTGCCTGTTGAGGACTACTATATATATATATAGAAAAAAGAAACCCCTTGATTTTAGCATGGTGTGAATAAAGTGTTAGACTTGTAATACTGTAGAGGTTACGTAACACTTGTCCATACATTAAAGCATTTTCATAAACTTTCTGAAATGGATATTTAAAGAAATTTGTGAAACTTCCTTACCTAAGAAGGAATACTTCCTCCAAAACTGTAGTGCACAGAAATGACTTGTTGGAGGGGTAGACCGTGACTCTCAAAAGAAATGTACAATGCATACATCTTTATCAGCTCTGATAGTCGCGTTCATATTAGGTGTATGCTTCCTGCTTAATAGTACAAGTAAGACTTCTTAATTGCAAGTTTTTCTGTAATGTTGAATATTGTATATTACTGGCTTCTGTGATAAGCTTTTGGTTTTGTTCTTAACAGTGTATATTCCGGATCACTTTAGATCTTTGTTCCAGTCTGAAGACATAATGCTATTTGTTTCACTTAAATCTTGTTTTACACACTTGATAGGTGCTTTGTGGGACCCTTTGGTTATAGGTCCTCTAGCATTGAGGCACAGCTCAATTGAAATCGGAGCAATAATAAATATTTCCTGGAATCCAAAATGTTATGATGTTACATTACACTTCTCATGCACAAAGCATGGACTTGAATATTGATGTGAATTTTAGTATGAGGTTTTATATTCACACTTTTGGGGGAATGGGATTTTGAAATACAAGTGTTGTGAGTGAATTTGTAAAAACAAAATACAAGATTTTAAAATGCTGTAGTTCCATGACAGACTTGTGTACTTTTTGAAATAAAACTGTTGGAGAAAACAGTAGTCTGTCTTTATTTTAAAGCAGGACTTGTGTATGGCTTCAGCTTTCTTTTGATGTAATTGGAGGTGAACTAATAAATATGGCTGTGTATACCACACTGGCATTAATAATTGTATTTCTTGCCCCCCTTTTAAATTCTAAGGGAAGTAAAACTTCATATGTTTTAAAACATGCACTCATTTGTGGTTTCTGATTGTAGATATACAACTGTAGTGATCAGTTTTAAAAACATACCAGAGTGGTCTCAACAGTTACTCCAAAGGCTGGAAAGGAACTTTAAAGTTCATCCCTCTTTATTTTACGTAGAACAAAAAATTCCTGACACTGATAAATTCTTGTCTTTTAAAATCCAAACAGGCAGGTTTACAGCACTCAGAGCATGTCGGTAAAATACTTGGTTTTCTAGTCAACTAATACGCATCTTTTTTTGGTTCAGATGAAGTTGGATGGTCTACAAGGTCTTCCCTTGGCCTTGCAAACCAGCTGACTACTGTCCTTGGAGTTTTGTGTTAAGATGAATGCAGTTTCTCCAGTGTCATCTTTGGGCACATACTTAGTTTTAGGAAACAGTCTGGTGGATTAGATGACCTTTGAAGGTCCCTTCCAAACTATTGGTTGATTCTGTGGGCTCTTACAGCTGTATGTTTGCATTAATGGCATGTATTTTGTTTATATCATTGGAAGCCTAATTAGCTTACGTTTGTTCATAAAGTCTGCATATCTTTATACATTATAATGTGTGCCTGTCTATATATGTTAATGTGTACGTGAGCCATGCCAGATGTTTCAGTAACTTTGTGTGTATATATATATAAACCTATTTGATATGTGTGTGCATAAGCATATAGTGTCCTGGTGGGAAAACCTTTGGGAATTTTTCCCATTTCAGATTAAGACTTGTGCTTA